TCTCTGCTCACTTTGTATTCTCATATTCCCATCCTAACTGTACAAAATGGTGATCCCCTCGATGGGCCTAAACCGCCTCTGGGGAATCCTTTAAATAAATAATACAATTAAACAAATTATTATAATGTGAAGCAACCAGGAATTTTTGTCTGGGAAGTGTATCGAGCGAATGCATGTAGGGCGATAGAGAGGGTTTGAATCCCATGTTAAGTCTTGAAAATAGGAGAAATGAAAACATTCTAGCATCGCTATATTTTTTGTTATGCCTACATCATTAAGGTTGTCGACGGTGTAATATTACGGCATGAAAACTCGAGTGTTTTCGGGTGTGCGGCTAATGGGCCGGGAATGTCTCAGGGCAGAAGGTGTCGGCAGGAGTGCCTTCACAGAGAGCAAAAAATGCCGCCCCGAGAGTCGCCGTGCCTGCGAAAGGCTAAGATGACAGAAAAACAGAGACTCGCCGGCTTCGTGAAAAGATGCGTCGACAGCAAGAGACCACTGAGGAGGGATCCAATCGGCAGGAGAAAAGACGGGATCATGACCGAACTTGTTCCGTGTGCGTTGACTGCGGTCCGTAGGCATAAGGCCGTCGCATCGCCGTTCGAATGTTTTTGGGTGTGATGCTAATGGGCAGGGAATGTAGAGATCGGGTAGATTGCAATGTTTTAATATGCACCTTTGTTGTATAAATAGAATGCTGAGATCATTAACAGAGGATTGTCACGAAAAGCAACATAACAGCCAGGGTGACAGTGTTGAAGGTTTGAGCAGACGGCGTAGGCAGTACTGCCCACACCGACAGTAAAAGGTTGGAGAAGAGGCGTCGAGAGTCGCCGTAATAAAACGGATCGAGTACATTATTGTACATATATTGCAAAAATAGTTTACATCAGTTCGAATAACATTCATGAGCTAGGCAAACAAGCAAAGCGTAGTGCCCTGAACTTTCAAGCTCTCTCGTTGCCGAAAGGGGCTATCGGTATGCTTTGATTCTTACTTCATAGTTCCATTGCTTTGTGAATAATCCCGTTCTGCTGTGGTTGATCATGACTTTGCCTAGGTGTTCATCTCACTATCCCCAAACCCATACCCACATCAATAATGCGTGAGACGTACATGCATATGTGTGTATATAACGTTAGATTGGCAGGGTGCGTATTTTATGTCCTGATGACTGTGTTTCGGCGTATTTGCTAACCTTGGACTTGTGCGCATACACTGGAAAGTCATGCAAATCACGAGGTCTGTTCCGCACCTTCACTGGTTGTCCACATTCAGTGACGACTCTCCCCAGTTAGCTTGCGGCCTGCTGCGATTGCTAAGATTAGTCTTCTAATTTAACTTTTTGTGGAGGAAACTAGGACCACAATGGCTCGTCGGTTGTTTGTGCCCGGCGGCGGCGACCTACCAGGAGGCGCCGATTCCGGCAAGGTCATGAAAAGCACTCAGGGGCCTCAAGATGAATATGTGGAAGGAAAAAAGATTGGTAGTGGCGCGCAAGGTGTGGTGGTTAAGGTCACACGTAGGCGTGATGGCGTTCAGTTTGCTGGTAAAATACTTCAACAAGGACTCGGAAAGCGAGAGAAAATTGCCTTGCAGAGGCTGAATTCTAGCAGTCCGAGCAAATTTATAATCCATTTGGTCGACATTGCCAGCGTCATCCGTCACGGAGCGGCTAAAGAGGTCTTAATATTGCAGCTGGCTTATTGCAACATCAATCAGTGGGCGCCGTACAAAGCGAAGCTAGCGATTCCGGACACAGTTAAGTTGGAGATGGGCCGGCAGGCGTACGCAGGCTTGGCATATATTCACCAGCACAACCTCTGTCATCATGACCTAAATACTTTGAATGTATTAATCTGCAACGTGTCGGGTCTGGTGAAGATAGCCGACTTTGGAAATGCTAAGGATCTGTCAGCACATCCTAATCCACATCACGAGCAAAAATTACAAGATCTGCGTGAACTGGCCCAAAGGGTCATTGGATGGATCTGGCTGGGCAGAAGAATAGGCGCCACCGACCGTTTCGTGAAAAATTTTCTTAACTCGCAGGCGAACCTAACTTTGGTGGATAAACAGGAAGTGCTTGGTTACATTTATGACGGATTAAACATAACAAGTCCCATTATCGGTAAGTTTAAGACGGATCCAGACTGGTTTGAAAAACGACCCGAGAAAATACGCACGGCTGCAGTGGAAGCCCTGAAGGCGGATTTCATCAACCCAGAACCAGCAATAGTTGGTGGAAGCAAAATACCAGCGTGTGTGTATGATGCTTTCGTTAAGGCTTGTCTCCTGGCTCCCCTACACCTTCTGACTGCGCAGGAGGTCAGAGATGGCTTTCAGCTTGCCACCACGGCCAGGGAACGCGAGGATGCCGTTCGGTTTATGAAGAACAGAAGCATATAGATAAATAACCTGATGATTGCAATGTGCAATAAACCCGGAGTTGCGACGAGCTCGGTAAAACCTCCTTTGTGCCTCCTGTGTGTTTTTTTCTTCTTCTTTTTTCTACAAAATCCACATATCTCCAAACACTGGGGTAAATAAGGGAGTGTGGTGGTGGCGCCCGTTAAGCTCCGCCGACCAGAGGTATGTTATTGTGCTGAGCACTCTCCGCTGGGAAAATGAAGAATACCACTTTGAAGTGTATGTTATTAAAACAACCAATACGAGCACGGAACAAGGGTTTTACCTCTTGAATTTCCCGCACAAAGCGATCATCAGAAGACAGTAATGATTAAATCTGGATCAGGATTGGTGTAAATACCCACAAAGCAAAGTGCATCATGGCGCAAATCTAAAGGGTCTGAATGACGGCAATGCAAAGCGTAAAATGCCTCCATTATGGCGCAAATCTAAAAGTGCGAATGACAGCAGTGCTGAAAGGTGTCACTTCAAGTGAAAAGCACCGGAGCTGGTTGTCTCCTATTTGATTAGATAATTCCTGTGGATGGTTTGAAGTTACGAAGGTGCTAGCTCTTCCTGTTGGAATTAGGAAGACATTGAGCACTCTCTTGTACAGCCTGGAACCTCTCTGTTTCAGCTTACTATATTATGGAGATTTCCGAAACGAATGACATGGCCGAAGACAACCCTACCAAATCACTTAATTCCCCGTAGCTATGCAGAAGACGTTACTTCAGTAACGTCTGGCGCTAGCCAGGGTCCACACAGCTTTAATTCCCGTAGCTATGCAGAAGACGTTACTTCAGTAACGTCTGGCGTTAGCCAGGGTCCACACAGCTTTAATTTGGTGTTTGTGTGTTTGTGTGTTTGTGTCACGCCTGGCGCTTTCCCGTATCTGTCCCGTACCGTACCGTATCATCAAACACAGCTGCTATGCAGAAGACGTTACTTCAGTAACGTCTGGCGCTAGCCAGCAGGGAGTAGTACAATACCGGGAGGTGACATGGCCACACATTCAGGCGGGCGAGCTTTGCCTCAGGTCACTTTTCTGTGGAGCGCTGTGTCCCGGGAAACGTCACGAACTGTCGTACTTCGCGTACCATTTATCGTAGCATTTCGTAGCATTTTTCAAAAAATTCATAGAACGACTTGAAGAGAGTGGCAGAATGCTCTCAAGAAGTTTTCGAGCAGTACTTTTTGAAGTTTGTTTTGACGATGTAGGGAACGAATCCATCAGTCTTTGCTGAGTGATGAGGATGAATCCTACGAAGGATATCAAGTAGCAGCTGGCCTTCGCACGGGTACCTTCAGTGTGTCCAGTATTTACGTGGGCGGCTTGTAAGAGTGAAATTTTCTTCCTAATTTAATTTGTATTACATTTAGTTATTCACGTCGTTTCTAGGGGAATAGATAATGTTGAGTCAAGTTTTAGTCACAATGAACAACATGTTTAAGGTATGGCTGACCCGTCTCAAGATAGTAAGGCTATTCCGAATCCAGATGCTATAGTCGTCAGAGAGAAACACAAAATAAAAATTAATAAATTTTATACTGCAGGGGCAGCTATTCGCAAATGTCACTATGACGCAAGTCTGTGTCAAGCAGGGAGTAGCACAATGGTACAATGGCACTGTGCTACTCCCTGCTACAAAGCCTGAGATGTTACGCGTTAACAGGAACTGGTGTTGATGATAAGGCAGTGTGGAATTATGTACAATGTTACTGGTGCAAGTGACCATGCCGTGTAAGTCATGTATGCAGGTAATCAGACCAAGCGCAAAAGGATAAAGATAGCCTGCTTACGTACTATTCCTAGTACGTGTGCTTATTATAGATACTTTGTGTGACTACTAGTTGTATGTGTCTGCATATTACTATACATATTAGTACGTAATTGCTTTTACTGCAATTTGTACTTTGTGGGGAGCTGCGTGACGATGAACTAGATATCAGGGAGTAGTACAATACCGGTATTGTACTACTCCCTGCTATATATGGCCACCAAGAGCATACGCAATCAGAATCGTACAATACCATTACTCCTTGATTATAACCAACTAGCAGCACCCCCGGCCAGCGTTGCCTGGCCGAATGTGGCATGCGGGTGAAGCAAGTACATGAACAGCACACGTGCTCAGCACGTGGTGGTGGCCAGACCGCTGAAGTCCTGGTGAGGGAGGTTCTTCATCGTTGGAAGGAGAAGGAGGGACGTCTGTTACGCCTTCGGGAGGGTGGTCAGGGTTGTCCATCACCTGGTGGCGGATGAAGCGGCTAAAAAAATTCATAAACTTACGAACAAAAGTGCGATGCGCTCTTCACTGCAGATCAGATGCAGAGTGCAGTCAGTGCAGATCTTTTGTATCCTTTTGTTGCAGATGTTTCTATTTGCAGAGAACGGTTCACGTGGTCCGCAGCGCTTGTGCGGCTGCTAGTGCTACCTGGCTATGGCCTAGGCTAGGTGGCTACATGATTCGCACGCTTCGCGTGCTCAGTGCTTCTGCGCGCGGCTGCTACTGCTACTCGTACTGATCGTGTCTGCTACCTACACTGTTCGCACGCTTCGCGTGCTCAGCACGTGGTGGTGGCTACACGATTCGCACGCTTGGCGTGCTCAGTGCTTCTGTGGCTGCTTCCGCTAGCTACACGATTCGCACGCTTCGCGTGCTCAGTGCTTCTGCGGCCGCTAGCTACACTGTTCGCACGCTTCGCGTGCTCAGGGCAGCGCTGCTCCGCAGGATGGCCTGAGCGTAACACACACACACACACACACACACACACACACACACACACACACACACACGTCACAGGTGCCTCTTCTTTATAAGTAAAGATGTTACTTTCATGGCACCGTGGAATCATGTCAAACACAAAAGGATAAAGATGAATAGTTGTATGTATGCGCACGTGCGCGCGCGTGTGTGGTGTACAAGTACACGAGGGTGTGTGTAGGTGTGTGGGTGTATATTTGTGTATACTTGTTGGTGAAGAGATTCTCATACACGATGCGCTGTTATTCGCAGCAGGCAGTGACTTCTGATGACGTGTTCTGTGCAGTAGATGGCATACCAAAAAGAGATAAGCCATGTTATATCCGACGTCCACCTTACAAATATGGTAGAACTGTGCAACTAACCTTGTCAGATGAGAGTATTTATCATCGTCTATACAAGGATGATCTTCGTCAATGGGGTGCGCTGTAGAACACGCATGAAAACAAATACAACCCCAAAACGTAGTTTCAGTATTGCTTCAGTGTCATATTTATAATCAACAACGTTGTATTGCAGAATTATACCCTTCTCACGATTGCTATTGCTCAACACCCTAGGACTGCATAAGTACACACCAACATCCCAAAAACACAATGCATTGAAACCACTTGAAACCACTCCTGCTATATAATTTGTTTACTTTTTGGGTGAGGAGCAATTGGCGTTGGGCAGGCAGACTTCGCTGCCGCACCCAAGTCGTCGCTCTTCCTCTTCTGTCCACGGGTTCTGGGGGTTAAAAAAGCAACAAAGCAAGCAGGCCTGGCCTCATTCAGTGCTGAAAACAAGTGATCTTGAACATTATGTTCAAGTCTGTACAAATAAATAAGTTTCAAAATTTTCGGAATGAGTTTTCCAAAGAGTTACATTAGCTAACACGTTGAGATGAAGTAGAATGGTAGACAAATAGGTATAGTTTCGAAATATCCCAACTTGGTGAGGTGTCCGAGTGGGTCCAAATGAGAAATTCAGGTTCGTGTTACACCATGTCAAGATGAGAAAATTCCATCACGTTACTTACCTAGGATAGCGTCCTCCATATTCGTCACTTCCATCCATTTTGGGAAGTCGAGACTTGGCAGCAGTGTGGACGATGTACCAGAGTAGCTCCCAAAAAAGGCTCGAGCTGAAAAGAACAAGTAGCAGCTTGTCACGAAGGGATACGTCTGGTCTTCTCGTCACTATTCGAAGGTTTCTCAGCGCTGTCAAAAGAGCAAAAATTTGAATTTTCGCGCGGTTTGTATTTTTTTTGTGAGGCAAAGCTCGTAATCCCGGATGTGTGCCCGTGTCACCTCCCGGTATTGTACTACTCCCTGCTAGCCAGGGTCCACACAGCTTTAATTCCCGTAGCTATGCAGAAGACGTCACTTCAGTAACGTCTGGCGCTAGCCAGGGTCCACACAGCTTTAATTTGGTGTTTGTGTGTTTGTGTGTTTTTGTGTTTGTGTGTTTGTGTCACGCCTGGAGCTACCGTATCTGTCCCGTATCTGTCCCATACCTGTGATTTGGTGTTTGTTTGTTTGTGTGTATGTTTTGTGTCACGCCTGGAGCTACCGTATCTGTCCCGTATCAGTGATTTGGTGTTTTTGTGTTTGTGTCACGTCTCGAGCTACCGTATCTGTCCCGTATTTGTGACTACAAAGGTTCTACAGGATTGTACATAACAGCTGGCCACAAACAGCTGGCCACAATATTCGTCGTATTATGTATACGACTCCCTGATGTCGAGGGAGATTTGGAAAGAAAATTAATAGGGAGACGAGGAGGAAATAGAATTAGAATGGGCGCTAGTTGCGGAATAGGTGATAGGATGCGTCAGCAAAAACATACTTTGGAAGAAAGATCCTTTGGAAGAGAGATCCCGTCGTCTCCAAAATAAGCGTGAACGGGCGATTCAGCGCCGGTCACAGGAAACGTCGGAAGATATTTAGGTACTTGTTTCTCTTCTTCCCATGCTTCATCTTCCACTCTCCTCTCCCCCATTTCCCCATTTATCTTGCGATATTTATGTGGGAGACTTCCGTGATAAGCATCCATTTGCTTTTGGAGAATCCTTTTAAATAAATACAATACAATACAATACAATACAAGAGAGATCCCGTCGAGTCCAGAACGCCCGTGATCGGCAGAGTCAGCGCTGGTCACAGGAAACGTCAGGACAGACATCTCGTCGACTCCAAAATAAGCGTGAACGGGTGATTCAGCGCCGGTCACAGGAAACGTCGGAAGCGAGATCCCGTGGAGGCCAGAACGCCCGTGATGGGCAGAGTCAACGCCGGTCACAGGAAACGTCAGGACAGACATCAGGACATTTTTTGCCTAGCTCATCGTACATGTTATTAGAACTGATGGAAATGTTTTCTTTCCGTTGATTGGCTACATCATTGTATTGCAAACACGTTTCAATCAGTTTGAATATGAGTTAGGCAAAAGTATTTGCAGAATTTATTGCGGATTGTTATTTTTCTCTCACTTCATCGGCTTTTGGTTTGCTCCTTCTTTTCCTTTTATCTCCTTATAGGCCATTCACACGACGGGCAAACTTACTTTTATCGTACTGTGTCCAAGGATATTTACTCGGATACGATAAACTTGGACACACGCGAGCAACTGATTTTTTATCTTGGCCGAGGCCCTTTTGCTCGCGATCATCTTGGCACGCCAGGAAAAGTGTCGGTTGTTGAAAGTGCGTACTGCAAATGCAGTGCATGAACAAGGGAAAATTCAAAATTGAACGTTTCCCGGCATTTTCAGGAGGTCACTATGGATACATTAACGTTTGCAAAGTTTGCCCAGCACCGTGTGAACTGGATCAGGGTTTGCCAGTGTTATCTTGATCACACTCGTGCAAATGTTTGCACGTCGTGTGAATGGCCTATTATATTATAATAGGATTTTCTGGCCTTTTTACATTAAAAGCATAGCGTAGGGCCCTGAGCTTCCAAGCTCTCTCGTTTGGTGTTTGTTTGTTTGTTTGTTTGTTTGTGTCACGCCTGGCGCTATCCCGTATCTGTCCCGTACTGTACCGTATCAGCAAAGCCACCTGGCCACAATATTTTTGTTGGTTTGTGCCATCGACATGCCTGGCGCTATCCCGTACCTGTCCCGTACCATCAAGAGTACGGTACCATCAAGAGAATGAGTATATTATTATTATTATTATATATTTGAGGATTTCCCAAAGACGTAGTCTAAATCGAAGGGAGTTCCATTATAATGGGAGACTGTAGGGTTGAGATAGCAGACAGTGGAGGGCTAATAATTCGTAATGAAGAGCCTAGCAAGAGAAATACAATTATGCTGAATGTTCCAGAATGGTCCTTTAATCAATGATACCTATAGCCTCGGGATATGCCTTGAAATACGAAATGTACCGAAACAGAAACACAAAAATTAATAAGAATAAGCGCAACGCACAAAGAAGGAGGACAGAGGCATGTCAGTGAGGAGTGGCATTGTGTTTGGTGTCAGAGAAGTGCGTGCAAATGTGACTGTGAAACAAGGACTGCGAGGCTGTGGCTCTCAGGTCTGCGGGCAAGGCATTCCAGACAGTAGCGGTGCGGAAGAGAAATGACCTCCCGGCGTGTTTCCCAACCCGTGGCAGAGTGAATGCGAGTTGGCGGCGGCGACTACGCGTGGGGCAGTATCCCGCTGCTTCAAAAAGTTCTGGTTGGGTGGTGACCAAATGGAAGAATTCCATAAGGCAGGCGATCTTCCTGCGCCAGGATAGACTTGGCCACCCCAGCTGTTTAAACAATGATGACTTGGGCTCGTCTGATGGGCAAGGGCATCTCTCAAGCCGCATGACTGTGCGAGCTCCTCTGGCTTGCAGCCGTTCAAGGGTGAGCCGCTGTGCAGCAGAGAGGGAGGACTCCCATACTGGGGCGGCGTATTCTGCTGTGGGGCGGACATACGTAAGGTACAGCTTCCTGACGATGTCTCCTGTTAAACGGTCAGCCATATGGCACAGAAGAACGCAGCGTTGTCTAAACTTGCTTATTGTCTGTTCAATATGCTCCTGGAAGCTAAGTGTTTCACTCAACAACACTCCCAGGTGACGGTGACTGGTTGACGGCTGGATACCGCGGATGGTCTCTGCAGCTCCTTCCTCAGCGAATGAGATAACAACGGTTTTCGATGGGTTGAAGGTTCCGCCTACTCGGTCGGCCCAGGCAAATGTGTCCTGCAGGGCAGTCTCCATTGGGCTGGTACCTTTGGTTCGTGCTTGGCCGACGGCGGTGTCATCCGCGAACAGGTAAACATCAGCGTGCTGGTTGCGTTTCGAGGCACTGGGTAGGCTGTTGATATGTACCAGGAAAAGCAATGGCCCGAGGTGGGAACCCTGGGGTACTCCAGACTTGACGGGACGTGGGGAGGACAGATGGTGTTGGACTCGGACGCTGAATGTACGCGTATCGAGGTAGTTCTTAAACCAACTCGTAGCCGGAGCATCGCAGATAGTCCCGAGTTGCTGGAGAAGCACGTCATGCGGCACTTTATCGAAGGCCTTCGCAAAATCGAGAAATGCAGCATCGTAAGGGATGCGTTTATCCATGGTCGAGGCGATCTTAGTAGTGAGCTGTATCAGCTGGTCAACTGTGGAGCGATCACGGACAAAGCCGAACTGTTCCGGGACAATGATGTTGTTGACCTCGAGATAGTGACCGAATTTGGTGGCGACAATCTTGTCTAGTGCTTTCGCAATAGCTGGGAGTAGGGTTATAGGGCGGTAGTTGGAGGGATCACACGGGTTACCTTTATTTTTAAATATGGGGATTACTGTTCCCAGCTTCCAGGCACTAGGAAACTCACCTAAGGTGAGGCTAGCGTTAAACAGGTTGGTAACAGAGGACGTTATACATGGTGCGATCTCTCGGAGGATCCTGTTCGAGATGTTCCCGCCTGTTGCCTTATGCTGCGGGAGCCTTCGGAGCACCCGGTACACTGAGGATTCGGCCAAGACTGGCAGAGAGAATACTTCATTCGGACAGTCGTCGGCTGGTGCTGGTATTGGACCTGTACCGTGAGCAGGAGTGCACTGGCGCTCAAATACCTTCGCGAGCATTTCTGCTTTCTCTGGTTCGCTCTGTGCCGTGTAGCCCTCACACGTTAGGTCAGGAACTTTATCTTTCTTACAGGAGATGTTGGCAAGTGTCTTGGCTTTCTTCCACCAAAGGTGGGCATCTTGCTCATCGTGAATATTCTCACTGAGGCGCTTGAAGTACAGGGTCTTGGCATTTCTTAACTGGTTCTGATATGCATTCCTCTGGGCCTTGTAGGTTAACCAGTATGCTACTGTTTGGTGGCGCTTGGCGGCACGGAAAAGGCGCTGCTTCTGGCGATGAAGGTGATGCAGATGCGGGTGAACCAAGGCTTGGTTTGCTGTCTTCGAGATGAAACTCGTCTGTACGCTAAGCAGCTGGCAATGGCTTGTGTGATGCATGACTCCCATGCCCACCACGCACTCTCGATGGTGGAAGCACCGAGCATACACTCCCGGAGTGGAAGAGATGAAAGTTTCTGTCGTAGAGATTGAAAGTCAGTGTTCGCGTAGTCTGGTACAAAGCGGGGCGGCGGGTGCTTTGGGGTGTGCTTTCCTGAGAGATATTTAAAGATTATGGGACAGTGGTCTGATAGCGGATCTAGGACTTCAAGGTCGGATATGCGATGCTCTGCGTCTGTGATAACCAGGTCGAGAAGTGATGACTGGCTACCCGTAGCTGAGTATCGCGTTGCGGTGTTTCGGACAATTTGCTGTAGTGCAAGGTCGTCTAACAATCCTGCTAGCTGTTTGCCCTCTGCCGTATCAACATCTGTTGCGTTCCACTGTCGGAGTTTGGCATTGAAATCACCGAGAATGACTGTCGTGCCTGAGGCTGACAGTGCGTTGGCAATGGTGGACTGGAAGGACACAAAAAAGTCGTGTTTTTCTGCTGATGATCGGTGAGGGGGCCTGTAAAACATGTGGAATGTATTCTTTCGACTGTTCTGCGATTCTATAAATTCCACGCAAATGTGCTCCAGTTTGCATTCAAGGTCGGTCCGCCGTTGGAAATGGCACATAAGCGATTGTCGAATATAAACAGCAAGTCCTCCGCCTATCGCGGAGTGTCGGGCACCGTCTCTATCTTTACGCAGGAGGCTGTATCCGGGAATTGAGATATATGCGAAGTGTATCGGGGGAATGCATTCAGTGCAGTAACATTTTGTGGTGGATTTGTGTGCGAGGCCGAGATTCCACTAGCAGGCTGGCTGGGCCGCCCGTCGACCAGCCCGGGAAT